TATAAAATGTACGAAACGATAAAGATTAAATTAATGGGAATTTTTGTGAATGCAACAAAGAGACAACTCATAAGTTTGGATTTCTTTTTATACACTAAACAAATGGATGAATGTCTCCAAAATTAGAGAGAAAATGACAGCCAATAATATTCCATGTTTCCAAACATTGCCTAAATTCCATGTGATTTTAAGACAAAACCACATGTTATCTATACTTATATTCTTCATTCATTTACAAATTATCGTTATAAGTTTATGTATTCTTTGAGTTATTGACCAATCGTAAGTAATATTCTAATAAAGACGTGACAATGCGAGAAGTTATGATTATTTCTCCGATCTTCTGGTTTCCACCGCTTGGAGGAGGGAGGCAAGTGTTCTTCAAAATGACGGTGTGTAAAGTGTACGTAGGCATCTCCAAAAATTGGTGGAATGCCCTGGTGCAAGGGCTAACGTAGTGAATGCTCGTAAAGTCTTTATGGTTGAATGTAACGATCCTATTTTTACTACTGAGAGCGATTCTGAGGAGCTAGTGGGCATATGACATGCATATACATGAGAAATACATGAATGAACCGAGATCATATTCGAATGAGAGTATCATATACCAACAAGGTGCACCTTTTTTTTCGGTAGCTCAATCATAGAAATCATTGAAGCAACGGTTTCACAGGAAAGTGGTTGATGAGAGGTAAACATCATACACTGATAAATGAGGTTGCAAACCTACCAAACATCCATATGCTTCCTACCCTTTTCTACCAAACTTATATACTATTATCTACCAACTTATTATTATTATTATTATTTTTCATATTTATTAATTTTATTTTTATTATTTTTCTATCCAATATATAATATTACAAATAGTCAAATTCAATATCTTAAGTTCGATGTTATTTGTTACATAAAATATTATCAAGATAATGTATACTATATATTAAAAAAAAAAAACTTGAATAATAATAACAATAATAAAATTATTGTACGAAAATTACTCTTCACCTAATGAATTAATTTTTAAAATATATTCTTAAATTAAAAAAAAAACATATTTAAACACTTTTTTGTCTAATAAATTGAAAACACACCTTTTATTCAGCTCATTCCTCTGAAATAATTTATATTAATTAAAAAAAATACTTTAAGAATATAATAAAATAGAATTATTCACCACAAAATGTGGCATTGATAAAGGAGCATCAAAACAAGTGAATAATAAAAATTAAAATAATGTTGTTTTTCTTTTAATTAGTATTATGATTTGAATAATTACAAGTAATGATATTGTTATAATTGCTTAAGATCCAAAATCATACTTCCAACTCAAGCTTCTTTGTTGAAATATTTTACAAACTATTTTAAATTACATTTTCTTAATTAATAATTATTTCATATTATTTATTTGTTTATTTCATTCCCCGGGTATGAAAATAAAATCACACATAAAATATCTTAGCGTGTTTTGCAAAACCGAACACTTAATTTAAATATTTTAAGCTTAGGGTTTGAATTTATATATATGTTATAATAATTTAATTCAAAGTTTATGGTCAAAGGTCAACTTCATGAAGGTCCCTTAATTGATGCTATAGGTTTTCGTATATTTAATGTTACACAATTATTATTATTATACAACTTCATATTACCAATGTCTGAGGTTTATTATAAGTAAAAAATATTATCTTGACCGAGTCGGGTTATTTTTATTGTGTATGTGGGAGAGGTAAAAAAGGGTAAAAAAGGTAGGAATAGAAAAAGGGGAAATGGTAAGTTTGAATGTGGTAAAAACGAAAGTTTGAATTGAAATTAGATTTGTGGGTGCAGGCGTGACACCAAAGGCTGTCAAAAGCCCCTGCTCCCTCTTTCCTTTTTGTTTTTTCTAATCTAATTACGACTAATATTTATAACTACCTACGAGATTAAGATTTTTTTGTTTGAAAATGGGTTTTGGTTCGAATTTCCAACTAGGGTTCTTAATTTGAAAATGGGTTCTTATTTTAGGGTACCCTAAAAATAGATTCAGTAGAGACAAGATGAGACTTGTAGCTCAGAGGATTAGAACACATAGATACGAATTAGGGTGTCGAAGGTTTGAATCCCTCTCCTCGCTTGCACCGAGCTAAGAAAAGAAAGATTTTAGAAAAATGAATAAAAAGATATTGAATATTAATTAAACTAGAAAAAGCAAACATAATCATTAATTTGAAATAATTATGGAGTTTGATTATCTCAATGCAATGGGTTGATGCAATTAATTTGTAGGTTATTATATTAAATTTGAGCTTTGTAAATCCCACACCCTAGAGCCTATGCCAATAATAATAACCTAATATGAATTTAATTAATTAAATCAAACAACACAATTAATTTCCCTCCTAAGGCTCATAGTTTAAATTTCAGTGCTTCTCTATCTCTCTACAAAGCTTCTATTCTGTTTTGTAATTCTTCTATTCTATTCTTTTCTCTCCCCTCCCCTTCCCTAATTCAAATTTCCATGGAAGATTCCTCTATATATATATATATATATATATATATATATATATATATATATATATAGCCTACTAAATGACGAAAATACCCCCACTCTTCCTAATCTAGCTCGTGGGTACTCCTTGGAGTTCATTGATTCTCGTAATCGAGTTCTTTGGTGCTCATCTATCAACTCATCATCTCATACCAACGTGGGTCATGTCTTGACTATTCATGATTATGGATAAATTAGTAGATCTCTAATCATCCCTGCATCATATCATTCATATAACACGTCAATACAGTACTATGAGGGTCCATCTTCACAATTCACCGTTAAGGATAAGCTAGCTGTGAATGTTTGCTTAATTCATCACAGCTAAATTGTGAAAGTTATCTTATTTATAATCAAATAAATTATAAGGATATGTAAAGCATATGGTAAAAAAAAGTAAATATCTAGATATTTGCCCTATAATAAAATATCAAATATGACATATATATGGTAAATTATAGTTTAGTACTAAATATCAACACTAGCAAACTCTTCACTACTTTCTACATAGTAACATATTCCTATAGTCTCGTAATGTATAGACAGAGCATAGTAATTAGCTTAAGTAAATCACTTATGTCTAATTTCTCGTGGTATTATGTAATTCATCAAAATTCGATATATATATATATATATCCTTTCCCTTACCACTCGATCATAGGTATTTTCAGATCAGTTATTAATATTTGTTTGTTGTTCGTTTTATTTCTTATTATCGCCAAGTTTACTTTGTCCTCCATTCGTCGTAGTGAGTGTACGACTTTATAATCGTCCTTGACAAAATTTCGATCATTTTCATCTCCAACATCATAAGACCCTCGAAGGGACCGATAAGGCTACCTACGACTAGTTTATTGTATTCATCTCCATCCATCAGTACGTGTTTTGTATTCTAATTTAACTCCTCACCACCTAAGTCGACGAAGCATGCATGAGCTATGATAGGTAAGTTAGGGATGTAAAAATGATAAAATAACTTTTATGGTAATTTTTTAAAAGTAAGAAAGAAGTAGGTGGTTAAAGTTATAATTGAAAAAGAAGTGGAAGTGGGAAGTGGGGTTTGAGACATAAATGCGAAATTAAAGTGTTTGTCTCCACAAACTCAGTTCACCAATTTTGTTTCAAATTCAATTCTCTGTCCAATACCTCAAATTCCAACATCCACGCATACATTTCATTTCATCCCATAAAAATCCTCTTTTTTTTATAAAAAAAATAAATAAATTAAAACCACCCCCACAATATCATAAATAAATAAATAAATAAAATCTAAATATATATATATATATATATATATATATATATATATATATTTTAAAAATCAAGTATTTTTTGGCCAATGATAGGACCTGATTTAAAATTTTTGTAATAAAAAATAATTCTTTTTGATGTGTCACATCCAAAAAGATTTTTCTAGTCGAGAAAATAGACAAAATAGCATCGCAATAAAAACAACGAAATTAATTATGAATATATTAAAAAAAATATATGTATTTATTTACACGTATATTATTACAAGTCAATTTTGTTAGCTGAAGAGAATGAAATTGATGGAAATTAAATATTAATGAATAGAGAGAGAAAGGGTGAGAGAAAATAAAATTAATGAGCTTAATTATAATTAATTAGTTTGCACTTTCAAAACAAAACGTATAATAATAAATTAAAAATAAGATCCGTTTTTAATTTTTAATTAATCTATGAACTTTCAAAATTAAAAATTGAACTTTTAGGCTTTTAATTGTTTTAAAATTCTCAAATTTATTATACATTAATTTTAAAAAGGTGTAAATTCATTTTTTTTTTAAATAAAATAATTCAAGATTAAGAGTTATAATCAAGTGCGATTAGGGCCTAACGTTAATCACCATCAATACCTAATCATGTGGATTCAAATGAATCCAACGGTTAAAAAAAAGAAAAAGAAAAAAGAAGGTGGGGACCACAAAAGCCTCTGAAAATCAAAACTTATTTCTTTTTGTTCTCCTCTGCTAGAGAAAATCAGACCGGTCCACGTGGCTAAAGATAAGACCATCACCAAAACAATAATAAATAAATAAATATATATAAACATACACTTAATTTTGTATATTGATTTACAAAATCTATTTTATTTTCAAGTGATATATAATTAAGTTAATAAAATAATAAAGATTAAAATAAGTTTAGTTGAGAATTTTTTTTTTAATTTGTTTTCATAAAATTTTAAAAATGTGAATTTTATGTCTAATAAGAAATTGAAATATTTAAAATTTATTAAAAAAATTACTTACAAAGTTAAACTTCAACTTAACTCAACAAATTTAAAAAAACAAAATAAAAAAAATAAAAGATTCAAATTGCCGTAGTTATTGAATTTGAAAATAAAATAATTAATAAATTAAACCCGAAATTTTAATATAATTACAAGAAAAAAGAAAAAAGAAAAATTGAGATGAGGGCAATTTAGTCATTTGGAGATGCGTGAGACGTGTAATGAATAAAAGGCTCCATTTATTATGGCGCCTGCGAGTGTTCGTTCCGTTTCCACTTCTTTTACACACAGCGACGGAGAATGAGACAGACCCAATACCCAACTTGACCCTTTTTCTTTTTCCAGAGAGAAAAAAAATTCCGGCGAATCTCCGGCAACGACGGCGGCGGTGTTTCATTGAGCTCCGTTAATGGCGTGGGTCAAATCACTTCACTGCAAATCCAGAGCCTTCCAAGACGTTTATCATCCAACCCCTAAAAATCTAATCCCCAGCGCCAGTTGCCGGAAGAGCGTTCAGAGCCTCAAAGACGTCGTCGAAACCACCAAATCCAAGAAAAAGAACCCAAATCACTCGCCGCCAGAGAAAAAACCGGTTCCCAAAAACCCGAGACTCTCGAAATCGGAACCCGGTTTGAGCCCCTGCATCCGGCCGAGAACGAGCGTTTCGTCTCGTCCGATAATTAGGGCCGACGATCTTATCTTTCCGGCGCTTTCGGAGTTGCCGGAGGGGCACCATTCCCGGAGCGTGGTTGAGATAATCTTCCACACTAGCTGGAGCCCCAAGGCGTTTACGGGTCGGATCGAGATGATTTTCAAGGTCCAGAATGGGTCCAAGACGGTGGCTCGGTTTGAAGAGTATCGCGAAATGGTCAAAGATAAAGCGGCGATGGGATGTCCCGCCGACGAGGAGAATGCCCGTTGCGTTGCTGATGGGAACGAGGTAATGAGGTTTCATTGCATGGGTCCGACATCCGACTGCGCAAAATACGATGGATACGGCGGCGCGTGGAGCTTCCCTGGAGTGAAAGGGTCGTCGTCGGTAGCAGCAATTTGTACTTTCGCCGGAAGCGGAGTGGCCCACGAGAACGGTGGGGGAGGGAGAGGGAGAAGGGCGATGTTGGTATGTCGGGTAATCGCCGGTCGGGTGTCAAAACAAGTGATGAAACCCGACCCGTTTATGGAAGACGGAGTTGGAGTCGACTCAGTGAGTGGGGATAACGGCGAGTTATTGGTGTTGGACTCGCGTGCGGTTCTCCCTTGTTTTCTCATCATTTACAAATTGTAAAAATATATATTTTTTTTAAAATGCAAAAACATTATTATAATTTTTTTTTTTAATATTTTGGGGTTTTTTTTTAGGTGAAATGGTAATATTTTGAATTTCATCTTTGATTATGTAGCATTTATCCACACAATTTTTCTCCTTTTTTGGGTCCTTTTTTTTCTTTTAAATTCGTCAATTTGATGTGTGGTTATGTAAAAATTGTGTTGATAAATGCTAATTAACCAATATTTACTGTTCTTGTTTTGTTAATTATTAAATGTTAATTATTTTTGTGTATTTATAATTATATTTATTTTAATTCAAAATTTATGGCATTTATTCCTTAGAATTTGGTAAATTATATTCCAATTCCATCACTTTAAGGTTATTTAATTCATTCTATATTTATAGATTTTTTTTTAACACTCAAACTGTTGGCCCTCGTTCCCATTTCTGATTGATGTGAGACTCCTCAATCCACTCCTTCAGGGTTAAAGCCTCCTTAATGGCACATTGGTCAGTGTTTGACTCTAATACCATTTGTAGTGGCACAAATCCTTGTTAGCGGGAACTTACTAGCACATTGTTCAGTGTACCATGCCTCAAACCGAGTGCTAACAAATATTCTTCTCTTTGGGTTTTTCCTTCGGACCTCTCAATCCACTCCTTCAGGGTTAAGCCTCCTCAAGGTTTTAAAACGTATCTGCTAAGAAAATGTTTCAACACCCTTATAAAAAAAAATATTATGTTCCCCTCTCTAACCGATATGGGATCTTACAAAATGACACTGACGTTAATGATTGGTTACATTTTCATAAAACAAAGTATTTTATGCACAACTATGTGTTTCTCTACTTTAAAAACATTTCTACTATTGTCAAATTACGATGAAATAACTAACAACTATCAATCATTACGAACTAATTTCATTGTTGGCTAGCGACTAGGGATCGAGACAGGGAGTTTGTTGATAGGGTGTTTGTGTTGATCTTGAAATCCAAATTCCAAATGGGAGTGTTAGGTGTAGCGCAAGTCACGCTGGTAATGGCAAAACCTTGCTTTCCTTTCCTTTCCTTTGACACAAAATGAACATGTTAACTAAAACAGATGTTGCCATTTCACTGTCTTTTTTAAACAAAGCTGCCAAAAGTGATCAAATTAAAACAACATATAATCTTCAGCTTCACATTCCACATCCATGCTTTTCTTTCAACCAAAGTTCTTTGCATTAAAGCAACCCAATTAGATTCATCATCCCTTCGTTCGTTCTCGATCCAAACTCAACTCGACGTTGTGTTGATTGAATGAAACACTTTCTAATTCGAAATATTGTAATTAAGTTTGTTTTCAAACTAGAAAAACAGGGTAAAAGAGCACAGTGTTCAGCTACAAACATATATATTAGAATACCCCTTTTCACTATTGAATGGTGTACAAGATAGAATTTTAAGGCTCCTACCCAAACTCACTACCAAATCATTGGTCAGTGAAAGTGGCATTTCAACAGATTCTCCTGTCTTTTCCTTTCTTTCTTGGTGTGGGGTAGAGGTTGAAAGGGATGATGGTTTGTTTTTGTCACATTGGCTCGAGTTAATGGTACTCTATTAGCACGAACAATGGCTTCCCGTTCAACCGCTCCCGACCCTGCATCATCAACACAACAGTTCATATACAAACGTATAATCATTGACATAACTCTTGAATCTTATTGACCAAGTCCTAGCCATACTGGAATGGCTATTCAAGTGCTTAAAACGAGCTTTCATAGGATATTTAAGCACTTGGAAAGTCATTTCAAACAGAACTTTAATGACGTGTTTGTCTTAATCGTATGTGACTATCTAAGAAGTCCGACATTTCTCTATCACTGTCATAAATCTAATGGCGTGATTTGTCTAATCCGACAGACAGAAGAACGTTGAAATCTGACTAACTATTGCACCTACTTTGAACTTATTAGCCATAAACAAGAGGAGTTTGAAGAATCAAGCACACCTTTAAATCTGGCAATTCAATGACGCAAGCACATTCAATTACTTCAGCTCCAACACGTTCTGAAAAACAAAGCATTTAGATTACAAAAACATGTTCATTTTTCTGACATAGATCACCAGACAACAGAATGAGCAGCAGTTTAGGTTCTGAAATTCCTTAAAAACGATGAACTGTTTGGTTTCATGTCCAGGTTTCATCATATAAGCTTACTAGAGTCAGCTGATTTGAACTATAACATCAATTATTTGGTTTGTTTTCTGAAACAGACAAATTCTGCAGCAAGTACAGAATCTCTGTTTATGCACTGTCTTTTTACTAAAGCTTCAGGGCTCAATGGGGCTTAGACTTCATATCAAACAAAACAAAGGCATCTAATCTCGACCCAAAATGATAGTCTCGAACGGATATGTCAATCTAAGTATAGTTTAGTGGATAAAATACAAAAATACGTACGTAGCTTGTATGACAATATCAAAGGTAGCTCACCAAGTAAATTCATGGCTGCACAAAGGGTGCCACCTGTGGCAATCAAGTCGTCCACCACTAAGGCCCGTTCGTGTGGTTTGACAGCTCCAACGTGCATCTCCAGGCAATCACTTCCATATTCTAATGTGTATTTTTCAGAAATAACTTCTCCTGATATGGAGATGGTTGAATGAAGTTCATTATTGATACACAAGGAAAAAATTATCCAGCATTTAAGATGAATCAACTAATGCTGCAAGCATGTATTCTAAGTGGAATATGGAAGGTACAGGAATTAATTACTACTAAGTACTAACAAGAACAACCACTTTCTCTTGATGGTATAAGGAGAAACTTGGAGGAAGAAAAAGGTTAAGCCAAGTGAAAACTTGTGAGATCCCACGTTAGTTGAGAGGGTGTGAAAATCTTTCCTTAGCAGACGCGTTTTAAGAACCTTGAGGGAAAGCCCAAAAGGGAAAGCCCCAAGAGGACAATATCCGTTAGCAGTGGGCTTGGGCCGTTATAGTTGGCATCAGAGCGAGACACCGAACAGTGTGCCAGCGAGGACACTAGGCCTTGAAAGGGGTGGATTGTGAGATCCCACATCGATTGAAGAGAGGAACGAGTGCCAGCAAGGACGCTGAGCCCTGAAGGGAGTGGATTGTGAGATCCCACGTCGGTTGGAGAGGAGAACGAAACATTCTTTATAAGAGTGTGGAAACCTCTCCCTAGCAAACATGTTTTAAAAATCTTGAGGAGAAGCCCAAAAGTAAAAGCTCACAAAAGACAATATCTACTAGCGGTGAGCTTGGGCCATTATAGTTGTTATCAGAGCTAGATATCGAGCGGTGTGCTAGTGAGAACGCTAGGCCCTGAAGGGGGTGGATTATGAGATCCCACATCAGTCGAGGGGAAAACCCAAAGAGGACAATATCTACTAGCGGTGGACTTAGAACGCTACGTAACTTAATGCCCGTGAAAGAATCAGTATAATGCATGAAATCACATGAACCCAAGAAAAGGAGTGTGAAGATCATCTCATGTATGTGTTACATATTACAAAAACAGAACTCTAAGGGGGAAGAGTTTTCTAGATCATAGACATGTCTGTGCCAAAGGGAGGAAGAGAACACTTAATTAAGCGAATGCAGCATAACAGGTAGACATGATACCAGGTAGCTTCCTCGGTTTCCTTAAAGGAACAAATTTTGCTCCAATAGCCAAAGCAATGGGAGGGCCAAATATGAAACCTCGAGCTTCAATTCCTGCCAACCAACATTAGAGAGAGCCAATATTAGCTGATGAGGTAAAAAACCAATAACCATAGCCAGCATTCATTGACACAGCCCACTAACAAAGCTCATAGTCAAACAAAGAATCACTCCCAAAACCCACAGTCACTTCCATTCATCAATGATTAATAAGTACCAAAAGCATTATAAGAAAACAACCGGAAATTCATGCAATGGGGGCGTTTTTGCATCATTTAAAGCTACTTTTCTTGGAAAAAAAAAATGGACCCCGCCATCTTCAGGGCAATCAAAAAATGGATCATCGTCATCAAAGCAAGAATACATTAATCTTTACTCAAAAATGGAAAAGGAAAAAGGAAAAAGTAAATAAAGAATATTTCTTTTATTTCCTTTTCACCTGCAACAACTGAAATGTTCTTCCCTTTGAATCGCTCGACGAACAAATCAATAGTATCTTTGAATGCTTTGGGGTCGAGTAGCAGAGTGGTTATGTCTTGGAACATGATACCTGGAAATAATACAGCCATCAACAGAGGACAAACCCCATTAAAACAAAAAAAAAAAAAAAAAAAAAAAAAGGTTAGGAAAAAAAAAAACATCCCAAATCTTCCATCCTTAAAAAGAACAAAACCCAGAATCCATTTGACAAATAACTTCAATTGGCCGACACATGCAGTAAATCCATAAAGTTTCAGAAAACAGAGTAAGGGTTTTAAAGAAATATGAAGATGGGCAAACCTGGTTGAGGGAAATTAGGCACAACACGAATCTTAGTCCTGATGCCATGGATTCGAGGATCCTCGTCTTTGTAAGCTGACATTGTTGTCCCTTAATGGGTGGGTGAAAGACGGCAGCTCAAAGAAAGGGAAATGGGTCGAAGAGACAGAAGAAACAGAGAGGGGATTTGGGTTTAAATAAGACGAAGAAATGCTCACTTCCTCCGACTTATAAAGGCATGAAAATCTCTTTCTAATGTATAAACATTTTAAATCTTCCCAAAAAAATTCAAATAGAGGGATGTAACTTTATTTTTAAATTAAGTTGTTTGTTATGTTTTAATACGAGAATTTAATACGAGAATCTAAAAGTTGCTTTCAAATCGGGATGATATTATTTTGTGACTATATATATGTATACACACATTAAATATAATAGCAACATGCAGCTGCCTAAACTTGTTCTTATCCACCATGTGCAATTTGGTAGTATCATACAAAATCCCAACATATCATCACTTTAATCTTCATTTTATTATTCAAATTTGGGAAAGTGGTTTTCCTCTTAGGATCATTAATCCCACCAACAGGATTTGATCATCCTCATCAAAATCTGACTATAAAAATAAGGATTGGTTAAAAAATAAATAAAATAACTGTAAAGAAGATTCCGACCATATTCTTCTTCTAGAACGTTCGTAGTCCTTCAACTTCTTCCAAATTTTGAATTTAATCTTCGTACCATCTAAATAGGCTATGATATATTATTCTATTAGCCTTTTATCAACTCGTGAATAATATTTTAAGACTTGAGTAACATTGAATAAATAGATATTATATTCCTAGGCCAAGTTAAAAATTAGATTTTAAAATATTTTTTTTATATATGGTTGATATTTATATATATAAAAGATTATAAATGTCCACAATAAAATTTTCGTTCATTTTTTCAACTCAATAAATATAATTAGTACATTACGTGCAAGTAAAATCAATCACGGGATGTTATTGAATATAAATCAAAATTTTGAATCCTTATATGAACGGCCTATTTCAAATCATAAATTCTCATCTTTTAATTTTAGGTTCGATTTTCAACGACAAATTTAAAGATTTGTTTCCATCTCAAATCACCATTTGAAATTAAATTTAAAACTGTAAAAAAAAAATAATAAAATTAGAATAAATTTGGTCCACTTAGTTTATTTTTAATTATTCTAAAATTAAAACAACGAAAAATGTTTTTTTTTTGGTCGAGTTGTAATGATCCACTTGGTTTGTCCCAAAGAGCAGACCAGAAGTAGTGGAGGTGGATGCCATTGGACATAGCCATTTTGTACGATCCATATTTTTTTCAGCCCCTTTATTTCTTAAACACTTTAAAATAAAAATATAAACTAACTCGTTGAATTGGGTCGAGTTTTGAATTATAGTTCAGTTATTCAAGTCACTATCGAAATTTCGAGTTGATTCAAAAGATTTCTCTAATTCAACCCAAGACGGAACGTGCCTACTGATAAATTGAAATTTGAGGAATGTATAATAATATATTTAATTTAGAAAAAAATTATATATAAAAAAAAAAAAGTTGAGATTTTTAATAATGATTGAATAGAATATGTGAGGATAACAAATTGGAGTGTGTTGTTAATGAGAGTGGCTGCCGAAGTTCGGACCGACACTCTCCCAACTGTCGGCATTCCGTTTATTTATTACATGAAAATAAACCCACACACACCGCCGACATTAACTAATAACTTCACCAACTTGTACTTTTTGTCATCCTATCTTTTCTTTTTCTTTAAGGTATGAATTTAAATCTTAAACTTTGATAAGTTAACCAATTTAGACAGACGTGTTGTTACAAATATCGTGTAATTCTTTGTAAATAAGTAAAAACAACCGTGGGAGAATGGCCCCGGGAGAGAAGTGGAAGATAAAGTATAGGGTATAGGGGGGGTTATATAGGGGGTAGGTGGCCCAAAGATGAAGGGAATTGATGAAGATGGGAGTGATGAGTAGGTTGAGAAATGGGAGATCTTGGAAGATTGCTCTCTAAGATCTTCTTGTCCCTACTCTCTCATTACCTCACTCATCTACCTATTCTTATTTATTTTCCTTAAACACATCAAAAACCATACCTTTTTGTATCGATCACTTCGTTACGTTCCTAATCTAATTTGGTACGAGAGTTTGATCCTAAGCTAATTTGTATTTGACCTACTCGTTACATCTTTAGTTTTAGAGTGAATTTTGGGATACTCGATAAAAGATGGTAGTGGGTGATAAAAGTGTTAGTTTCCAAGAGAAAAGACTCGATCTTCCTCTTAAAAAATGAGCTATTATTGTTTGCTTGAATACCTTCTTCAAAGTGCAACGTGATTATCATATTCCCTTTTTCCTTAATGCTTTATGTTTCTTTTTTTCTTCGAGATTTTTCGTTCAAAAGGTGTAATTTACTAATATTTTAGGCTTTCTTTTATAACAATTTTGTTTTTTATTTTTAGTTTTTAAAAATATAATGTTTGGAGTCGTATCCATTAGGAATGGATAGGTTTTTCTATCTCCATTAGGTCACTTATTTCAATTCTGGTTTTTGCAAAATAAATTATTCATTTTTATAGAGATCGAACAGAGATTTTCCTAAGAAGATTGGATTCTAGTATTTGTTTATATTTTTTTATTTTTAAAATTTATTCACGTTGTAATAGAAATTCTTTTTTGAATTGATTGAACAAATTGAGCTATAAAAATAAGAACATAAAAATATTTCCCTAGAAGACGCACTTTAAAACCTTAGGAGATGCTAAAAAAGGACCATATTTGATAGGAGTGAGCTTGGACTGTTACAAATAGTATCAAAGTTAGATACAGGTGGTGTACCAGCAAAGACGCTGACCTACTAGGGGGTGAATTATGAGATTGAACAAAACATTATTTAGAATAGTGTGAAACCTCTCTAAACAGACATATTTTTAAACCTCTCGTGAATTCATCCCACTTTGCCTTAAAATAATTAAATAAAAACAAAACTAATATATAATATATAATAATTAGAGATAGATAGATTTATTATTATTTTTTTTTTGTTAAATACATATATAATATTATATTATATGCACCAACTTTAGGAGACATCAATCCAAAGTTTAACCATTTAAAAATAAAATCTGTTTAAATTATAAAAGTGTATAATTTTAATTAATTATTAATTTAGTTATCTAACCAAAGGGCTACAACTACTTTAGCTATGGTTCTATGGCCTCTATATCGAGGTCATCACTCGTAATGTAACATTTGATACGACGACATCGTCGCTCGTATCATATCAACGTCTCCCCTTAACATTTGAAGATTCTATTGACATGGCTGCATGGCTCTGATACCATGTTAGATGAACACGACTCTCCACAATGGTATGATATTGTCCATTTTGAACATAAGCTCTCATGGCTTTACTTTGTACTTCTTCAAAAGACCTCATACCAATAAAGATAGTATTCTTTGATTATAAACTCATGAACATTCTCTAAATTAGCCGAGGTGGGACTTTCATCCAACAACCAAATAAGTGACATAACACAAATGTATTAAGACATAACATATAACATAAACATTGTTTTTGTGTGCATATATTAATTTTTACAATAATAAAGATTTTAAAATCAAGACGAAGAATGTAAATGATATATCAAGTAAATACATTCTCCTCGTACTAATATATTTAATTGTCTAGGAGGACTCGTAGAAGTAGCTACGGGTCCATATTACTCCAATACCCTCCATGGTCGTTAAATTTCAAGAAGTATACATGTGTTACATTTGTATGCCATAATTGAGCATTGATAAGGGATATTTATGTCCCAAATTAGGAGGGGCAAAAAAGTAATTAAGGGTATATAAAAAAACAAACACACAAACGCATTAAATTTTAGAGTTAATGAAAAATATTTCGTGAACCATATGTTCTAAATATTATAGCTTGGTCCCATTGCCGTCACTAGTGAACTTCAAACCTAAGTATTATAATTATTATTATTTTTTCAATCTCATAATTTAATGCCCGAAGATTCTAGTAACGATTTAGTTTAGGTGTTTTCAAAATAAATCGGTTTAAGATAGGAGGAGGTGTAATGACCCTAGATTTCTACCGACCTAGAGTCGCTATCGTCATCATGACGTAATCATTTCTATGTAGAAATAAGCGTTTAAACTTATTCATGAAACATAAACTTTTAAAACACTGGTATGGACTTACGTGTTCGAAAACATCTTTAAAACGACAAAACGAAATACCAAATGAAATAAACAAACGTTAAAATTAAAAATACCCTATTGTAACCTAAGTTTAAGAAAATAAATACAACTATCCTATGCATGTGTCATGGTCTCGACTTGCGATGTTGTCGTTAGTCGTACAAGGATGTCTTGTCTTTACCTGGAAAATAAGAATAGCACGTGGTAGGAGTATTTTAAGAAATACTCAGTAAGTGACTCTCCTATCGAGTTAAATGCAATCACATACAATTTCATGAATGAAACCTATCCTAACAATCTATTTCCTATGGTGGCTATCCTAATGAGCAATTGGATGTGTACTTAATTTTCCTACACACTGTTCACATGTGTGAGCATGAACCCACCAGTCGGTTCGCACACCTCCTCGGCCCTTTCTGGTCGGGCGAGCATTCTCTGGTAGTTGTTGATGCCGGACACCCGTTAGGAATAGTGACCGTCACGACAGCCTTATGATAAATATAATGATAGTTATCCTGCCTCGTAGCGTATGTATCCGTACTATCGTCAAGGATAAGAGATATCCCCCAATGTATGAGCACATAATAATGCATGAAGTCCCCCCATTTTTCCATTTTCATTATCATTTGATATAACTCTGCTAGCGTCACCCTTCATATCATATCATTTTGTCATATCATTTATTTATCTTTCCTATGTGTATATTAGGGTTGTATTTCATGTTGGTTCATCGTTTTGCATGTCAATCATATCATATCATTCATATTACATACATATGTCATATCATAACGTTTCTGTGCTTCTAGACATAACAATTCTCATCATATATATATCATAACGTTTCTGTGCTTCTAGACATAACAATTCTCATCATATATATATCATACCGTATCATATATCACAACAATCATATAACACAACCAGTGTCTGCCTTCCATATATCA